AAAATACTAACGAATTATATCACTAGTTAGATATTCGTTTCTCAAAATACCATGTTAAATATGACTAAAAATTGATGATTTTCGACACTGCCCGTTTAACTATATCTATAGAAATTAAACAAGCGTTAGTTGACAGATTTCGTCGTATTCTTGATAATAACAACAAATGACAAGGAGGAAAAAGTGCGGAGAAATAACGAATTTAATCAGATGTTTCTTCATCATCAGAAAGGATGAAACTTATAATTTGACTTGAATATAAAATACGACAAATGAAATTAAATTTACGTTTCGATACTAATTTAAGATCAATTATATATTGATCATAGCTTCGTATACATTGTCTTAAATATCGACTGGAAATAATCTCATTTATGATGGTTAAACAAAACTTCTCGAATGACAATCAATCAATGTTATTTCATATAATATTGATATTTTACGCAAACAATCTGTTTATATAGATAGAATATCTAATTATACACTTTATCGTAATACAAATAGTTCAATTATATGAGTTGTATACCTTTATTCTTTGGATTTACTTATTATATTTATTAAAATATTCAAAAAAATAAATTTTAATTATAAGAAATGACAAATATATTAGTTCGGATGTCGTTGAGATTCTAACCATTCATTGAATTCATTCTGTAATTGTGGATCATCATTGTTTTGTGATGAACAACGTGGAATTATAACTGACGTTTGTTGTTGTTGTTGTGTTCGACGAGAAATTGTCATCCTAGAACTAGATGGTGAATGATGAAAAATATAAGATCCAAGTTCAAAAAAACTGATTTTCAACAGGTTTTCTTCGTCGTGATGGAGTAATTTCTTCACCATCATCATACCAATTGCAAGGCATACATAATATTGTGAAAATCGGGAAAATAGGAAAAATTATAAGAAGTTGACAATCAGAACACCAATCTTGTATTAGAAATTAAATAAGTGCTGTGGTAAAAAGTAGCAAGGCAAATATCAGATGTAGAATAGTCCGAATAATGCGTTCGTTTCGTGTAAGTTTTCGAGTCATTGTAGATAAATTGAAGAAGAGAAGAATAAGAACGAGAAAAAAAGCTCCAGTAAAGAAAAAGGTTGATACGGGTTCAAAATCTGTATGATAAACGATTGAATAATTTCCACTAGAGTTTTGTTGATATGAACAATTAGCATAGAGTTGAAACCATGTTTGATTAGGTCGTTTTTGTTTTTCATTACTTTGAGAATCCAGTTTTACAAGAGGTGGTACTCCGTTTGTAATTACTAAACTATGAAAAACTAAATACAAAAATGGAAAAAAATCGACGACAGAAAGAATAACAATTATATAATTGCAATTGATATCGCCTTCGTGTTCGAGTGATCTTAAATTAACTCGTCTGTGTGTATTTGGACGATACATTAGAATATTTGTAGCTACTTTTCAATAGAATCAGGGTTTCCAATAGAAATCTCGAACAAAATGTACCGGTACACTTTGCTTAGGTAGACAAAGTGTATGTGTACACTTTACTTTTTCGAGCAAAGTGTACATATCCTGCTTTTTTTCCAACGCGAAAAACCAAAAATAATTTTCTCTCTTTATGATTAATTTATATTATTACATTTCAAATAACCAACAAATAAATGGTAAATGAACATCATTTCATAATCTGACGTATTCGTTTACAAGAAAATGTGGCAAAAAAGTTTGCAATATAGATATAAATTATTGTAGAAATATTTTCAAATACAAAATCGTCAAAATATCAATCGTCTAAATCCTGGTTTTCATCTTGATGCATATCATCATGATCTGAACAAAACCATAATGAATCTATTCCCTCGACTGAAAGGAGGGTCATACAAAAAAAATAGTTTGTCTGTGTGTCTGTCTGTGTCAGGGTCGAAGGTCAAAGGTCAAGAAAACATTATTTTCGGAAATGCATAGAATTCAATGAAACATCGTTTACGATCGGTTTTAAGGTTGACCGAACAGTTTTAACAAGATGTTCCGGGAGGCGACTTAGGTCTGCGAGAGAAATTTACCGCAGCAATAAATTGACCAATATAATAAGATATTATGGATGTGCATATGTGCACATTACATATTTTCTGGTCTAGAGCGAGGATCATATGACGGCAAATACTGCATATGGGGGTGTGCTTGTGTCAGAGTCAAAAG